TACAAGGGTTTGCTGTCCACTTGCTGCACACGGAACTGTGCATAGCGGTGTATCTCATGCACGAATGCAGTGTATTGCTGTGCGGTGTCGCTAATTGCGCATTGTTAAGCTTTTGGCTGCGTTTTTCACTGTGCACCACCGCTGAGCCTTGCTGCTGCGCACTGCTGCTATATGCTGATGAGTTTTTCCCGCGGGCGTGCTCTATTCAAACGCAGCATCTCTAGGCTGTCAGACTGCAGTTTTGGTCCACAGGCTGTATCTTCAGTCATGGCCAGTGCATTTCGAGCCATGAAATTATGAGGAATGGCTGAATTTTGTTGGAGGGATAGTCGAGGCAGTTGTGGGTAGGCCGCTGTACGCTACCGCACACCGATGCACGCTGCTGTAGTTGCTGCGGACTGGACACAGAATGTTGTTGCTGCTGATTGGTGACTGCGGCTGTATACTATCACCGAATACGGCTTCTGCAGGGACTGCGGTAACCTTGGGGGTGAGACCAGACCTTGCCTGGCCGGTTGCTACTGCAGTTTGGAAGTTTAGCTAGGGCCCGCTACGGCTGCGGTGCGGCGCGGTGCACCATTGTGTATTGTGACTACTTTGGGGAAAGGTTATTGCTGCTGTGGTCTGGTGCCGTTGATTCAGATAGCAACGGGCTGTTGTTATGGTGGTTGAGTTGCCATCACTTTGTGTCGGTGGGCTGCTGACGCAGGGAATGGGTTGCTGCAGAGGGAGGCAGTGCTGTTCGCTGAATACTGCTACTGTGCCTCACGGTTGCGCTAGTCTGTTACAGCCTGTGGCTGAATAGAACGGGGGGGTGTGCTCTATTCGAAGCACGACCTACTGCAGTCTTGAGCACGGTGACTTTGAGGAGGGGTCAGACTCAGATGAGGAGCTGTTGCAGCGACGCAAAGGATTGTCAAGGGGTATGATATTTTGCCTTTAGCTGAGAACTGAAGGGTTTACTGCGTTTCATTGGCCATCATTGCGGGGCCCTCAGGCGAATCAAGGCTTCAAGGCCCTCTCCTGCAAGTCTGAGAGCACCCCTCTTGGATCTGAGTGTCTAAACCTTCTCTTTCTGCCTTTCTCAGTCTAAGTCTAATCTATTGGTTACGAGAGGAAGGCACCAGGCGGGATTGAAACCCGTAATCCGGGCCAAGGCCTCTGTGGGAGGTTCGCCCCACCGATTGCGGGAGCTCTGCTGGAGCCCAGGTGGGGTTCGGGAGGCAGGGAGCAGTCAGGTATAACTTTCGTCTAACCTGTGTGATCCCTTCCCCTAAACTTTTATCCTTGGGCTATCTGAATACAACTATGCGAGGTTATTACTTACGTATGTCAAGACATGCTTTGTAAAAGGTTAAGTTAACAAGTACATATGAGAGGTCAGGTATTTTTTTGAGAGAAACCAGACAAAGCTAAATTTGGGGAAGGCGGAAGGACGGTGTTTTGCATGCTTTCACCGGGTCAACCCAAGGCTGAGTTCCCCTAGGTTGGTGTGGACTCAGTGCTATGTTTATTGTTGTTTGCTGGGCTGTCTAAATGACCTTTTTTAGGATTGGGCCTACCCTAGGTTGGATGGCCCAGTCGCCGTTTCTTTGAGGGTTTCTGAACAGGGAACCGAACGCCCTAGGTTGGGAAGGTCGGCTCCCTGATGTTTTTTTTTTTGTGGGTTCTTGAAACAGAACTGGGGCATTCTAGGTTGCGTGACCCCAGTCCTGTGTGTTTCTTCTGAGGGGGATAAGGGCATAAGGCTGAGCGTACCCTTAGGTTAGGGCGGCTCAGTTATAAGCTATGAACCAAATGGATAATCAGAGTATAGAATTTGGTATATATTATTGAACTTATACCTTCTGACAGACCGGGCACCCTAGGTTGGGAAAGCCAGTCAGTAAGTCAGGTAGAACAAAAAGAGAAGAGAAATGAATGAAGAGTATAATGAAGGTAACTCGGGCAGGCTGAGCGTACCCTTAGGTTAGGGCGGCTCAGTCATGTGCTCGTAATAACAAAAGAATCAGAGAGTTAGTATAAAATTGTTTCTATTTTCCCTTCTAAACACAAGGCAGGGTTAGATGTCTTTCGAGGTTGGGTAGCTCTGACTATCTGCCTAAGAAGCGAGAAAATCATAGAGTTTGTGCAAGCATTCATGGTTGCTTAAATGGTTGTTACGGAGGCTAAGCGTACCCTTAGGTTAGGGCGGCTTAGCCATACGTCGTTGTTCTTGTTCAGGCAGACCAGACGTACCCTTAGGTTAGGGCGGTCTGGTCGCATTGCCTTATGTGACTTAAACTGTATAGGCTAACTAGGCGTACCCCTAGGTTGGGGCGGCCTAGTGATATGCCCTTGTCGTTGACGTTCTGTGGGTTGGACGTATCCTTAGGTTAGGGCGGTCTGATCATTTGTCGTTTGTGGTTGTTTAGGCAGGTTAAGCACACCTCTACGTTGGGGCAGTTTAACCCTATGCCATATGTAACTTTGTTTAAGGCTGGTTAGGCACACCCCTAGGTTGGGGCAGTCTAGTCCTATGCTTCATGTCGTCAGTTAAGTAGAAGCCAGACACACCCTTAGGTTATGCAGTCTGGTCATATGCTTTATGTATATAGTTTATGTTATGTTGGGCACACCCTTAGGTTAGGGCAGCCCAGTTGTACGTACTTTACCTATTTGCCTAGGCAGGCCAGGCATACCCTTAGGTTAGGGCCTTGTCTGACCATATGCCATAAGAAAGGGGGACATAAAAGGGGAAAAGAACTGAGTGACTTAACGAACTACTTGGCTGAAAATGATGAGGGATTGTGAGAGATGTTTTGTTATGTATGCTTTGGGCTCTCACTTTGGGGCATCTTTGGAATATGATAGTTGTTTTAGATGATCGCCGAGAGCTGGGGCCATAGGCAGATGAGATGGATAATGGGAGGGAAGCTTGGGACAGGATAGGACTGACCCTGCTAGAAGTTAGGATCAGTGTCAGCCCACAATCTTATCTAGAGTTCGTGCAGATTATCACCGATCCTACTTACAAAGCAAGTGTCAGAAGTTAGTCCCAAATATAGTTTTGCTTGGTCTATCTGTTTTCAACTTTGTATAAATCTTGACAGCTTCCTGTTCCTACGGGAAGCGCTGCCGAAATTTCGACAAATCTGAAAAGAGTTAGTCGTTTTGGACTCATAGAAATTCTGGAAAGACACTTTTCCTACAGGAAGCGCTGCTGAAATTTTGCAAAATTTAAGGAGTTAGAATATTTCTGGCTAGGGGAAACTTGGCAATCCACCCTGAGTAGGAGAGATGCTGCCGACATTCTCCGTGACTTAGTGTCAGTAAGGAGGCTGAAAGAGAGGTTAGTAGAGGAGCTAGGCTATGAGTTGGAGCACGTTCTCCACTTAGCTTGGACATAGCAGTGACTCTCCTTGACCTGTACTGTGATGCAAGTTTTCACGTCCGATTGAAGGCTCGATTTGGTCGGCCTGATTCTACGAAAGGATCACTTTTCTGTTATCACTGATAACAGGTCGGTTGCCGATTCGTCGGTTTACAACTCAACCCCAATTCACTCTCAATACTCAACCTAAAAAGGTTTTAGCCCTGGTGATTTTATTGTTTTGTTGTGGTTTCACCCAGACTTTTATTGAATGGTCATTTAACAAAGGTACTGAGTACTTAATTATTGTTGGTTGGCCGGAGGTTGGGGCTTGCGCGACTAAAGCAAAGGGTATGAGTATACAGGTTGGTTGGAGTTGACTCCGTGTAGTGCGTGAATCTTTGCTTGATTCTTTCATGTGATTGCAGGTATGTGTGGAAGAGTCTCGATTGATTTATGTTGAGTGATATTGCTATGGATTCAGATGGGCAAAACCACACAACTGTCGTGGGAGTGAACTACCCCACAACCTTTCTGTTTAAGTGAGACTGTTCTATTCCCGTTCTGATGAGATGATAATCTAAGTAGGCATACGCCCGGGTAACCCTCACAGGGTTAAACCCGACAGTGTCCTTTCTGATAATGTTAAGAGTTTTGTTTTCCTTATCCTCGTTGAAAGTTATCTTGCTGGAACGATAAAGTTCCGGGCGGAAGGGTTAGCGTGTCACTGGTGGTGCGCTAGACAACTCACCACCACTCAAAGTCCCCTCCTGCCCTAGGGACCATCTTACCCCGCACCCTTTGGAACACCTCAGGGTGCTGAAGATGGTATGACCCTCAGGCCGGTGTTGCGCTCGCTAAAGGGTTACTCCCCTTACCACGCACTTCAGCCGACGCCTGAGCGTCGAGAACAACCCCATGGCTCAAAAGAGGCCATTTGGGTATGGGCACCATATAATGCACCGTCACCACGGGTATTCACATAGAGCTGCATGGTGAACTGGTACTCGTAGGTCCTATGTCCGCTCGGATTTATGTTAACCCATGCGCGCCGCACTTACCCATTTCTGCGATCGAAAGTTATGGGACGAGCGAAGAGGGCAAAAGCGAGCCACGGCCAGTAGACCCAAGTTTTGGCAGCACGACATGATGCAGGAGCAAGGGAATAAGCCTAGTCGGCCGCTGCAATTGCATACGAAAAACTTTCGCATGTGGTTCAGTAGCTCGGCGGGGATACACCCACCTAAGGGATGGTGACAGCTCCTGCATGTGGAGGTAAGCGGTGCCTCTCGTGACCCTGTTCTGTCATAGGGGCTCGCGAGAGGTACGGCTGACACACTCGGCCGGAGCGGCAAACACTCTCTGCGACAAGTCCTGCATAATCCTGCGTGACGCGGCCGGGAGGGTCCCGTGCGGGACCGATGCGCTCGACAGGTGGCGCCGTTGCCGGGGATCTCGGCTGCCTACCGGGGTCCTTAAGAGAACGAACCCAGGTTAAGTGCAGACTGATGATCTAGGCAAAACGACAAAAGCTTATGGTTTGGGTTGTCTTACATAAGAGGATTGTGTATGAGATAGTAATGAGACTAAGTGATTAGAAGTATGGCCTAAGGTTGTATCTGAGGTTCCGAATGGTTAGTAGTAGAGGGTTAGCTGGACTTAGAGATGGACTAGTCAGGTATGACTTAAGGCAAATCCTTGAAATTTAACGAGCTGCTTACCGATCTGCCTTTTTCTACTCCTGTCAGGTTGGTTAGCAAAAAGGGATAAAGATGCCGGACGCAGATGAGATCGAGCGGGGCCCGGCCGCTACGCCGGCAGACTTTGTCAAGACCGTTGAGAAAAAGAAATTGGCACGACTTCAGGTGCCGAAAATTGACATCTTCCTGTTTGAAGGGGAAAGGGTGTCAAAATGGTTGGAGCTACTGGAACAAGTTACCGCCGAGGTACCCGAAGAAGACAAGTTCAAGTTCCTACCTCGATTCATCTGGGGGGAAACCCGACCCGAAGTAATGAAGGTGGTTGCTGGAGCAGGGGGAGACTGGGCTAAGTTCAAGGCAGAAATGCAGAGGCGGTTCAAGTTAGGGGATGGCTTGTTAACGAAGACGGACTTGGAGATGTTACAGCGAGACGAGTTCTCCACGGTGGGAGCTTTCGCGACGACATTTGAGAAGATGGCAAAGAAAGTCCCCGGGTTGGTGGAAGAAGAATAATGTGCCACTTTCCTGGGGCACTTCAAGAATTGGGAGGCCTCGTCGCTAACCAAGAAGGCTGCGCCAAGAAAGAAGCTCACTTGGGCCGCCATAAAGGAGGACGTGATAGAGGGGGAATTGGACCAGGTGAACATCTTCCAAATGCGACAGGCTAGGAAGAAGAGGAAGGCTTTGGATGCAGCGACAAGTGACGGGAGAGATTTTAAGAGAATGGTAGAGGATGTTGTTGCTCAACTCGATGCAGAAAAAGAGGCAAGGGCAGCAAGAAAGGCTATGGCGGCACCACAGACTCAGGGAAAGGCAAAGAAGGCGGTGGTGCAAGAGGACGAAGATGAGGAAGAGGAGGAACCTGAGCCTCAAAAGTTAACAAAGGCACAGAGGAAGGCCAAAAATCTGGCCCAAGGCGGACAAGGCTCAGGAAGAGGACAGACCCCGCAAGCAACAACACTGCCTCCCCCGCAGTTGCATGGTCAGGCCGCGCCAGCACCGTATGGGCCGTGGCCGGGTTATGGACCTCCAAGTCCTTGATCTGGGCACTGTTCATACGTACTATGGCCGATGAGTGGGCCACATGGATCATGCGCGGGAGCGCCGCTGAGCTCGGCTTCCTGCGGGTGTCCAGGACCCCAGACTCAACAAGTAAGCCACCCGAGCCCCCAGCCAAACGAACCTCAACAGCCGGCACCACAGGGGTCGCAGGAAAATCAAGGCGGCGGACGTCGACAGAACCAAGGATAGGGCCGAGGGCGAGGAAATGGCGGCCGCGGAAAAAATGGAAGAGGAAATGGGGGTGGCAATTCCGGTGGAGGAGGAAATGGGGATTGGAATGCGTCAGGGAATCAGAGTAGTCATGACGGAGGGCGAGGTTTTGGTAGAGGACGGATAGACTGGAGGAATGTCATTTGCTGTCATTGTGGGCAGAAGGGTCACACCATCAAGTTCTGCCATGTCCGAAGGAATGATGAAGATGAAGGGTTGATTAGTACTAACTACGACGGTGACATGTATGATAAGTTTGGATACTACATTGACCCAGAGATCCCTGGTGGGTCGAGAAAGGAGGCCTTGAGACAAGTCGAGACCGGCGAGCCGCCCGCTTCTCCGGCCATGTTTCGAATCTGGCAAGAGGAGGAGGTTCGTCCTGATGTAAGGGAAATATGAGAGAATGAGGAAGTAGAGCAGGAAAGGAAAGCCGGTACGGTCAAGGAAGAACCAATTGTGGTAGAATCTGACGAGGAGATAGAAAAGGGTTACTGGAATGAGGCTCAGAGAACAATGGAAAGAATGGAGCATCTAGTGGCGAAGATATGAAGGTATCAAGACAAATTGAGCAACGTGTGTGAAGAGGTCAAGGAGTAAAAAGGTAAAAAGCCACTGGTATATCTCTATGACATGGGTCCAGGACTGCAAGGAGGATCTGGGAGCCTACCAGGCATAACGGTTTCAGGACCGACGCCTCAGTCCGGAATGGCTTACAGGCCACCGTCGAGGTCAGGAGGAGCACCACAGGCAGTCAGGACAAGGGCCAAGGGGCCAGTAAGCCCCAATGAGCCGGCAAAGGACGTTCCTGAACCTAGTGGGGAAAAACAAACAGTAGACATCCCAGAGGACGAGGATGAAAGAGATGAGAGGTTAAGGAGGGAAGAGGATAAGAGGGCCGAGCTAAGAGCAAAAAAAAGGGATGTTAAGGCGGACACGGACAGAGTTCCAGAGGGGAAGAAAAGGAAGTATGTTGTTCGGGTAGAAAAAGGCTATGATGTAGAGGAAATGATGGATAGAATCCTTGAGGGTCATAATCATCTTATGAACCTAAAGGATGTGTTGGCTTCAACTCCAAGGCTCCGGGATGAGCTTAAAGCTCGATTATCCAGCAAGATGGTAGCTAGCGTGCGATTGGGGACCATAATCCCCAAGGAAGCAGAATGGGCAGAGACAGGCACGAAGATGGATTGGAAGTCCGTTGCATGTGGATGCTTGGACGTAGTAGTAAAAGGAAAAACATGCATGACAATGGTGGATACTGGGACGAAAATGAACCTCATAAAAGAGGAGCATGCCTTGCGCCTGGGGATGGAGATTGACCGCTCCGATAATGGAGTTCTAATGGGAGAGAATAGTCGGTCTGTGTTCATAGGGACCGCATTGAGAGTGGTTTTGGAGATTGGCAAGGTTAAAGTGAGGAGCTGCTTCTTTGTGATGCCTGATTTCGATCATCCCATCCTATTGGGCCGATCATTTTTAAGCCGAACGGAGACCGCCATACTGAATAAGCATGATGAGACGATGTTCCTCGTCTTATGTGACCCGGCATATGGCAACTATGAGGTTATCACATGCAGAAATACGGGGCCACGAAGTATAAGGAATAGGCCCAATCCTGACTCTTTCACGATTGAGGAATCGGAAGAAGAAAGAAAGAGGCTAGGGGGAGATGGGTTTGAAAAAGAAAGGAATCCGGAAGCATTGACTCTTAGCCTGGCCAGTATAGGCGATGCTATGGACATAGTGTCAACCTATGGGCTGTCTCTTATACACATCTAGATGTGTATAAGAGACAGGTATAAGGAATAGGCCCAATCCTGACTCTTTCACGATTGAGGAATCGGAAGAAGAAAGAAAGAGGCTAGGGGGAGATGGGTTTGAAAAAGAAAGGAATCCGGAAGCATTGACTCTTAGCCTGGCCAGTATAGGCGATGCTATGGACATAGTGTCAACCTATGGGATGGCGGACCCGGAGGCCGTAGAGGCCTTGAGAGAAAAGATGATGGAACAAATGGGTGAAGGAGAGGTGGAGTTCGTATATCGGACGCCCGGAAAGAGAGGAGGATCGGCAGGAGCCCAACCCCTAAGTGCAACTCGGCCTTTTTTAGGAGTGGGCTCAAGCAAGGGTCTCAAAGGCGGTACGAAAGAGTAGATAAAAAATGTCGCCTTGTTCCTGTGCTCGTGACTGAGAAACAAGAAGTTTATTACGAGCGGGAACGAGAATTAATACGGCAGATGAGGGAAAATGCGGAGAATGGACCATGCCGTATCAATCAAGAAACGGAAGAGGCGCTGATAATAGGGGAACCAGATTTCCTTACAGCGCAGGAGAGGCGGTTGATGGTAGAGAGACCATGAGAGGAAGGCATACTGCCTATGCCTTCAATGATGACGAACGTGGCCGCCTGGATGTTGACAAGATCCCGATGATTCGGATACATACCGTGCCGCATGAACCGTGAAATCTGCGAGGTGCGCGATATCCGAACCCGGCTGATGAAGAAAAGGTGGTAAATTATCTTGACGGGAAGATCCGCATTCATGTCTCAGACTACTCGAGTGGGCCATATGCATCCCCTTGGTTCTGCTTTGTCAAACCAAATGGGACGCTGAGATGGGTACAGGATTTGCAGCGATTGAATGCTGTAACAGTGAGAGATGTAGGGGGTCTCCCTAACGCTGATGCGCTTTCAAAAGCATGCGCAGGAAGATCCATAATATCTCTCATAGACTTGTATTCTGGTTATGACCAGTTTTCTGTTTACCCTTCGGACATACCAATGACTGCAATGCATACCCCTCGAGCGCTAATTCACATGAATGTCGCACCGCAAGGTTGGACGAACGCGGTTGCCATGGTCCAGAGACACTTGGTGAGGGCAATGCAACCAATAAGTCCTCATATTACACAACCTTACATCAATGATCTGGTTGTGAAAGGGCCAAAAGAGAAGAATGAGCAAGAGATGATGTCTAGGATTAGACGTTTTGTCTGGGATCATGTGCAAGATCTATGTAAAGTCCTAGACCTGTTAAGGGAGCATAACCTCACTTCAAGCGGGACAAAGTTCAGACATTGTATGCGTGGAGCAACGATCTTAGGGTTTGTGTGCGACGAGAGGGGTCGTCGGCCGGACACTAAGAAGACAAACAAGATTCTCGAATGACCAACACCATTCTAGACAATTACAGAGGTAAGGAGCTTCCTGGGAACATGTGGGTTTTGAAGAGTGTCCATCAGAGGGTTTGCGGCAAAGACGGAGCAATTGCGAAAACTTGTGCGCCAAGGTTAAGATTGGGAATGGGGAGACAAGCAGGAGTCAGTGATAGAGGGTCTGAAGAAAGAGTTTGAGGAAGGGGGTCTAGTACTGGGGGTACCAGACCATGCGGCTGTGATGACCCGACCCTTTATCGTGGAAACAGACGCAGGGCCGACTGCACTGGGAGGGGTACTGATCCAGCGAGACCTCAATGGAGAAGAGCGGCCGCTAAGGTTTGAAAGTCTAACGCTTAACACAACTTAGAGGAATTATTCTCAGTTTAAGCGCGAGACCTTGACAGTTCTTCACTTCTTGAGGATTTTCAAAAACTACCTCTTTGGTAGCAGGTTTGTGTTGAGGGTAGACTCAACTGCTCTAGTTGGCTCCTTTAAGAACCTCGCACTTTCAGATCCAACCATTGCCAGGTGGTTGACGTACATCTGGATGTTCGACTTCGAATTAGAGCGTATTCCTGGGAACAAGAATAGGGCAAATGGGTTAAGTCGCGTCGACTGGGACAAGAGCAACAAAGGGGTAATAGAAGATACTCCGCCAGCTGATGGATTTCTGGACAAGGAAGAAGACGTTAAACTCCACATTAACTCCTGGTCATTGGCTATAGGTAACTATGTTACTCCTGGACGACCTATATGGCTCGCACCTCCAGGTCATGTGCCGCGGCCGAATATAGTCCTCAAACCTTATGTTGAGGAAGATTCTTGGGGAATGTCAGGAGTGGAGTGGATGATGGAGTTGGCCTTGGCAGACAAGTACCAGTTGCGGGAAAACTTGGTCACATTGGAGACCGGACCCCAGCAGGTAGAAAAGCATGAACGATTGGCAGGTGGAATGTACCTGTTGGCAAACTCGTTGCTTCAAGAAGAGGTTGCTAGGATTGAAGGAGGAAGGCAAGATAGAGAGGAGAACGTGATCCATGAAGGAGAGGACGATGACTTTGAAGAATGTGAGATAAGAGAGGTCTTTCGCGAAGAAGAATTCGACGGAGTATATCTAGAATTGGGAATGCTCCTTTCGTGCGAGACAAGAGAAAGAGATGCTAGCGAAAGAGTCCTTAAGATGCGGTCGAATTTCCTAGTGAGAGACGACCATCTATTCATGAGAAGTAAAGGAAAGAATCCCAGAAGGGTAGTCTGCGGAATAAATCGACAGATTGACGTTATGGTCGCCCTTCATGATGGGACGGCTGGTGGTCATAAGATCACAAATGCAACATACTTAAAGATTCACGAACTATATTATTGGGATGGCATGGGACACATGATCGACAAATATTGTAAATCTTGCATACCGTGTCAGGAGCGGTCTTCGCTAAGACCTAGGGAACCACTTCACCCTAGATATATACGTGAGGTCGGAGCAATCATTTATCTTGATCTATTAGCGATGCCTCTGGGAATAAGAGGGTTCAACTACATCTTTGATGCACGAGACAATCTCTCAGGGTTCGTTGATGGTAAGGCTATTCGCACGAAGACCAGAGAGGTACTAGCTAGATGCATTGAAGAATACTACCTTTGCTATCCTTTCGTCTCAAGATTCGTAATGGACAGAGGGTCCGAATTTACTTGTGCCGAAGTGAAAGCGTTGCTGAAAGTGTATGGTGTGATCGCCGAGTACACGACTGCGGCGCACCCTTAGGCTAACGCGCCAGTAGAAAGAGGGCACAGTACCATTATCTTCTCGCAAAATGGACAGATGGCAAGCCTAATCAGTGACCAACTTTCCTGAGGGTTGCTTTCTTCGTGGAGAATATCACTGTCAGAAAGAGTACCAACTACGCGCCAGCTACATTATGGTATGACAGACATGTGATGTTCCCTGTAGAGAGTTTCCTAAAGACTTGGAGGCGACAAGACCTCGAGACAACCTTGTCTTTTGAGGACTTGCTTGATCTAAGGGCACGTCAAATTGGAGCCATAGAGGATAAGGTACAGAAAGCGGCAAGTAGGGTGACTGACAATCGAACCAAGGACAAGTTCAGGTGGGACCAGTTGGCACGAGTAAGGAAGGAACCTCTTAAGGTGGGAGACGCTGTGCTGCTGTACGACTCGTTCCTGGAGAAGAAGTGGTCGAGGAAATTGGACAAGCGGTGGTTAGGGCCGTACAGGATCACAAGGTGTAGCGAGCATGGAGCGTACCAAATCGAAGAAATGAATGGAACGGCATGGAAGGATTGGGTGTCAGGCTCGAGGTTAAAAAAGTTTGTCGCCCGGGATGAGGTCAGTATGGATCTCACGAGATAGTGTCGCTTCATTTGAGTGTATTTGGGGTAATCAATAGGTTGTGTAGGATGTTAGTATTAGTAGAATGGTATGATTGGGTACCGTATTTAGGTAAATTTATATGTGCAGATAGGTATTATAGAGAAAAATTATAGAATGGGAAGGTTATGTCTGTCTCCTGCTATGTTTGCCTAACCTGCTTACCCTCTGTGTGCTCTTGTTTTTCTCTTCCTTGTTGTGCAGGCTTCACACCATTTGGGGCAGCCATGCGAAGAAGGAGGGGGAGGGCAGGGCTAATGGGAACCCCTCTGGGGGCGACCAGACAGACGGCGCAAATGAGGGCTAGGAGAGAGGACAGACCACCAATTTTTCAGGGAGGGAACACTGAGCTATTCCTGATCGAGTTTGAGAGGCACACCAAAGAGTTTGGGTGGGATACGTTCAGGATGCTGAGAGAGGTGCGAGGCGTGGGCCAGTGGGCAGAGCCCATTGCCAACTATGTCAGGGAATCACTGACCTGGCAGGACTTCGAGAGGAGGATGGAGGGCCTGCACCCATCACCATTGGGGAGGGATGGGCAACCCATACGCTTCGATGGCACCAACCTTGGGGATTTCTTGAGGGCATTCGACGAGTTTGCAGATGGCCTCAATGAGTCACCAAGCCAGGGAGTGGGAGGCTTTTTCCTGTTTGTGAGACGGCACCTCAGGTCCTTTGTCAGATCTATTGTGGAGCCTGCTACAAGCTGGGGCCAATGCAAGAAGTTACTTTGGAACTACTAAACTCCGGCACGTCAGGCTGAGGAAAGGAGTATGGAAAATAAGAGGAAGGAGCCAGGTGTCACAGAGAGGAGGACTTTTGAGCAGGGCATGACCTCAGACACTCAGAGGGATGGACAAAGGAGAGAGCACAGGTCCCACAGGCAAGAGAGAGGAGGATAGCAGCATGCTGAGAGGGTTCAGAGGAGAGAGGAACAGCATGCTGACTGAACACAGCAGATAGAGAGGCAGACTGCAAAGAGGATTCAGGAAGGAGGGGCACCAGGTGGATCGGATGCACCTCCTCAGCCTTCTCAGGAATGCCCTATGTCAGGCGTGGAGCCAGAGCTGGCTCATGAGCCACAGGGGCAGGAGCAGAGTGAGGATCAGGCTGCAAAGGAGAAGGAACTTGACAGGAAGGAGAGGGCAACAACAGAGAGAGAGCTCAGAGTCCAAATCAGACTCAAAAACCTTGCGGAGCTGCACGAGAAGGTTGAGCAGGGAGAGTTGCAGCCTGTGGTACTAGAAGACAGAAAGGGGAATGGCTCATGCGCTCAGGACGATGAGACCCCTCTTTTCACAGAGGCTTGGGACAACTTTGACAAGCTGTTAGAGGCAGCAGGGAGGCCCAGAGAGCCATCAGGAGACGGGATTTAAGCTGGTCTCTACAGACTTGCTTAACCTGAAGGGCCTTACGAAGGAAGGTTTTGCGGCAGCCAAGGCTTCTGATGAAAAGATGGGGAAGAGGTTGACAAGGGTGGCATGGGCGTCTCATGAGCAGAGAATGGACTGGCAAAAAGAAATTGACGATCTGAAGAAGAAAGGGAAAAGACAGGACAAGGAGGTGGAAGTCATGAAGGCTGAGGTGGAGAAGGCCTGGTCAGGCAACGAGGCCATCAGACAGGTCAACGAGACCCTCAACAAAGTCAACGACACCCTGAGGACCTACCTGCAAGTACAACAAAATACTTTTCAGGCAAAGGAAGCTAAGTGGGAGAAACGGATAGAGGATCTTGAGGCCAAATGTGCACAGCAGGCGCCAATTACAGTGGTGGATTGGACAGAGGTCCAAGGGTTTGGGATCAGAAGACAACCCGCAGAAGAGGCCTTCAACTGCCAGAAGGTGGAAGAGAGGGCAAATCAGCAAAAGGGTGAGGAAATCCCCTTGCTAGACAAGGAGATGATGCGGCCTGAGGAGATACCCACAAGGATGGAGGCGGAGGTCGATGAATTTGAATGGCAAATGCCCTTTATTTTGGCATTTGAGCAGATACAGAGGAGGGGGGATACAACGCAGCAGGCAGAGTCCACGCAAGATGAGGGTGTTCCGATGATCACTCAGGAAGAAGTTACAAGAGTGCAGGAAGCCTCGGAGGCTGTAAGGCAAGCCATGCCTGAGGGAGAGAACCTGGAGGAGTGTCAGGAGTCGACCATACCTCAGGGTATGCCTCTTGTTACAGGACTGGAGGAGGCATTGGGATCTTGGGCTACTGGTTCTGGGCCAGAGACATGAGGAGATGAACAAGTGGCGCAGACAGACGATAGAGCGGCCTGTCCTACTCCTTCAGGGGCTCCTCAGCAGGAAGTTACGAGCGAGGCTACAACAACCCCCTCATCAGTGCCCTCGCAGAGCGAAGGCAAAATGTCTCAAAGGAGGCCTGGCAAGTGCTTCTACTGCAAGAGGGGCAAGCATAGGTCTGGCGACTGTCCCAAGAGCCTCAAAGATGAGGCAAATGGCTTGGTCACCAGGGAGGCATCTGGGAGGTGGAGAGATAGGGATGGGAACCTAGTTCCTAAGACTCATGATGGGGTGAGAGCGTAATTGTATAGGCAGCTGCAGATGGTTATGAGTGATCAGGAGTAGGGTCCATTGATAGGGTCCGGAAAGATCTATAATTAGCATGTATAAGACATCTCTGACTTAGTAACTGATGGATGATTGTATATAGGAGGACACATGGAGGATTGGATCATGCCCGTGTACATCAGTAACTAGAGCCGACATTTAGATGGTTACCTTCGCATTATAGACTTTCTGGATTAATGGTACATAGGGTGACATTGAGTGTGACTTTGATTACTCTGTTTTTCTTTAGTATGGTGTGAAGTGTTCTTAGATAGTGCTTTTGTGTGAGTTTATGATTCTTTCTCGTTCAGAGCGGTGTGAGATCCTGATTTCTTTTTACCTTGACTTTTACTTTGACACTTCGTTCGGATACTCTGATTTTGTTGCTGGATACTGTGACACTTGGTACGATACCGAGACTCTTTGTGTGATGCTTGGATTCTTTGTACGATACCTTGACCGTTTTCGATATGGACGGGAGCCTTTGATTGTTGCAAGGCCCCAGATTCAGTGCGCATATGCGAGTCTCAGACTTCTTTCTTTTTGAGTGGTGTGTCACACTCACTTTCAGTTTGTGGACTTGCTCATATGAATGATTGTTGTGATGAAATAAATGTCGTAAAATGACTTGATCTGCACGATCTTCCTCTGTACTTAGGCATACCTGTTACAATAACAGACGAAGTCATAAGTACAGGGAAAGAGAGTGCACCTCACGTCTGTTTGAGAGGAAAGACTTGTGTCATAATTTGTAAAGGCATGAGTGATGATAAATGGAAAAGGCACAAGGAAAAGTCACAACTGAAGATGTATCTTTTATATGACTTGGAAGAGACAGAGGGAAGCCAATGGCCAATTGAACTTCCTTAAAAGGATGAAAATTGGTAAAGCACTCAAATGAGGTGCTATAAATGATGAGAAATTTATGTGTGCATGAAAGTCTGACGAGGAAAGACCAGAAATTTTGTGAGAAGTATGGATGGAAACTTCTGGCAATTATAATGGAATTTGGAAGACATTTTTTAGGAGGTGTCCCTAAGACGTGTGACCTTACCTGCCCTGATCAAAGTAAGGGAGACACGACCTCTGTGGGTTTATTAAGTATCTTGTTGGAATGTTGAAAAAGACACTATCCCTCCACGTAGTCCCGTGGGCAGTATGCTGAAAAATTTTGAGAGAGAATGCCAAACCACAATGAAGTCAGTCTAAGGGGCATATGTTGTGAGGCCAAGCTAAGGGGCTATACTTAGCATCGCTGGAACTGTGGAACCTAACTCCCAGCGAGGGCCGCTGACCGGCACAACCTGGCAGCGGGACCATGGCTCACAAAAAGTTAAGTCTTAAAGGGTCGGCCGCCCGGAGAGGCTTAGCTAGAGGGAAGGTCATTGGGGTCGACTAAGTCAGGAGTCGGGACCCTTCGGGGTACCAAGATAGGAATAATTGCTTATCGTTGCGTAACCAACGAGGGCATCATCGCTACACAACAATGCGATGGGCCGTGGATTCGGCACGATCGACCGTTCCGCGGTGGGCCAAGATGGAGACCTAGAAACCACCTGTGTCAGACTCCAGGATGGATGTTCATTATGAGTGGATACTTGAGATGGTAAAACATTACCATTTAGGGACTAAAGGTGCCCCGTATTTAAAAGAGGTCTCGGTTAGGGCCCGCGTCCTAAGTTATGACCCCGTGCGCGGGACGATGACTAAACATGATACCCAACGATGAACCGGCAGATGTCTATGATGAAGGGAGAGGACTATGAACTTACTACCTGGTATTACGTTGTAGTACGAGACAAAGTATCCCCTAACTCCAAGGCCAGGACGCGGGAGACCCAGGTTAAAACCCTGGCAGTGGATCACCGTGACGGGGAGAGATTGATAGACTACCTCGAACAGAGTCGAGTCGGCTAATCGTATTGGTTACTTCCTCGTCAGGAAATGTGATTTTGTTGAATTTATAGTTTTGATTGTCCGACGCGACGGGGGCGTCGCTTAATAGGGTTCGAAAAACTGTCGGCCCGAACACCCTTACAAGGGTATTTGGGCACACTTTTGCATCTCATAGAAGATGCGTCTTCAGCAGTATCCGAGAGAGTGTCCCATTTCTGGGTGACCACAACCAACTCCCAGGGGTTGGGAGCGGCGTGTGGGCGTGCGTCTAGTGGGCGTGCGTCTAGTGGGCACGCGTTAGGCTAGCTAGATGATTAGTATAAACCATTGATCTCGCTTAGGGAATGCGGGCTAGGAGTAGGTTGGAATTTTAAAATGAGCGTTGCGCGAGCCGCAGGACACGCTGACGAAGTAGCGGTCAGCACGGAGTTTAACCATCGAGGCTACGACAGAAAGGGAAGTTTTGTTTGACTTACCGAAAAGGCGGCATTTTGGGACCGCATTGTGGAAGATGTGCAAGCACCGAAATTGACCATGGGTCGTCGGTAGTCAGAGCCACCGATAAGTCTAGTAAGGGCAGTATAGGAGAGGAGCGAGCGAAAGGTCGGGTTCTTCCGACAATAGAAGCGGGAAAAGAACGACCTTTGAAGGAAAAGTGGTGGAATGAGGGAGCCTCGACCCATGGCCGTAACATGGCTAGGATGGGCGCATGGCAAGCCAAGGGAAGAATTGCCACCCGAACGACAAGCACGTGCCTACGAGGCCGTGGACTTGAATGAAAAGGCAAGCGGAGGGTTTGGCTGGATGCTGCAGGCCCAGGCCAGCTGCGGATACTATTGATATAGAAATCCGCTAGTCCTATGCTCAGACTAGGGCCTAGCCCTATTGGTTAACGTACTGAACTTTCAGCTAGCAGATCTCGGGATCGAGGCCGGCACGCAGCAGCAGAGGAGCGGAGGAGCGCTACGGAGTTAAACCGAGGGGTCGAGGGTCCCGAGAGACTATCCCCCTTGGTTTTGCGAGAAGTTCCGACCGCGGGCCCGTAAGGTGGGGCCAAGGGACGAGTCCCCATGGTTCCCCCCCTACTCCGATTTTTCCTAATTTTTCTAAATTTTTTTATTAATTATTATTTTTATTTTATTCTTTTCTTATTTAAGTCCCATTTTGGGACGTGACCCGGTATCGCTCCGTGGACCGACTGTGAGTGCCAAGAGCCTAGCTCAGTGGTACACTCATGAACTGTTGAAATACAGACCCGAGTTCGAGTTCAGATGATGACACTTGATGAGTAAAATCTGACATTTCTAAATTGCCAAGGACCGGCTAGCCAGTACTGTTGCCACTAGGCCATTGCCTGTGCCGCTGGTCTTTCGAGACAACCGGTGGTAAGTGCTCTGGGACTAGTCGTCTCGGAGGTGCTTTTTCTGGCCAACGCCGCTATAAGACCGCGCGGCCTGTGGCGGGAGCTTTCGACTGACTGTGTAGAGTTTCGAGAAGGAAGCGCTGTCGTAACAAGTGCGCTAACAGATGGTGAAGGAGAAGAGAACAGGGAGTTGACGAGAGTGATGGAGGAGGAAAAGGGGGTAAGAAAGAAAGGGAGAGAGAGACACTTACCGTCAGCAGGGCTACATGCAGACTACGGGGGCCGTGGTGAAAGATAGTCGCTTGCATCTGCCTTGGTACCTGCGTGAGGTCCGTCCTCACTTATGAGGAGCTGTGGGCGCGGTCGACGAATACGTGCGCAAGCTACGCACGTACGTGTGAGAAGAGAGGACTTACCTACTACTGAGATTCCAGCATAGTTGCTCGTCACGGTGATCGTGGGAGAGTCGATCTCATCAAAGCAGTTTGCGGAGTGCTGGAGAGGGCGAAGGTAGCAAACAGGTGAAAAGAGGATGAACCCGACCGAGGACCGCGCCCGGGTGCAGACCAAGATGGTGAAGGGGGGGGCGAGGTGCACTGGAGAATGTCGGGTTGCCTACCACTAAACGGAGTTGGGCTCGGAAAGGTGGTGAGTCGGAGTCTCGAGCAGGGGCGAGTCTGAATGCGGGGAGGGACTGCGCTAGTAGTAAGAGGTGG